TTCAATACATTTTCTGCAATTTGGTGATAATATGATTAGGAAACATTAGAGAATCTGTTAGAAATGTGGAGATCAGTGAAAATAAAGGAATATTTTCATTTTTAAAAATCAAGACAACAATTGGGAAAAAATTGATTGTCAACAAAGGAAAAAAGACGGAGTCAAGCTGTTCTCCAAAGCACCTGAGGGCAGGGCAAGAAGCAATGGATGAAAACTAATCAAGAAGAGAAGGAACCTAGAACTAAGAAGAAATTTCCTAACAGTTAGAACAATTCATCAATGGAAAAACTTGTGTCCAGAAATTGTGAATACTCCAACTCTGGAAATTTTAAAGAAGAAATTGGGGGGTTCTGGTTTGCCAGGCTTCGGCAATGGCAGGGATTCGCAATCCTGCGCGATCCCTGCCATGCTAGCCGTCTTGGTGCCTCCGATCCTGACAGGTCTGGAGGATAAGGCAGCCCCATAGGGGCAGCTGAAGACAGGGGGATCCGGATAGGGGTTTGGAGGTATCGCAGACCCCCTCCCCACCCGGCAAAACCCCTTTTCTCAAGGCGGTGTAGCAGCGGTTTGTAATGGCTGCCACAAAGAAGCCGGCAGCTGGACAAGACTGTGCAGGAGGAAGAAGGAGAAAGTTGTAAAGTGAAAGTTTTTTGGCTGAACCAGGACTTTTAAGATACACTTAATATCCTGAAAATCATGATCTTTTGGATGATACTTTGTTTTCCGTCGAGATTTTTAAAATGGTGAATGGAAGTGCTGAAAGGGAAAGTTTACTCTCCCTCCCTTACGGAGTTAACAAATGGACTGAAAAACCTGCTTTTCTATAGAAGGTAAAAATTTAAAGCTCTTTGTTACAAGTGGGAAGGGAGAGGACTGAAACAAATAACTCATATTAAGATTTTGTTGGAAGAGATGCCTTGAAGATTTAGAGACTAGAAGTTAACTGCAATAAGGCTTTAAAATACAGATTGGGTTTTTTTTCTAATTGATATTACCCTAGGAAGAGAAATTGCAAAGGGAAGAACTTTGTGCTCTGTTTGGACTGCTTGATGACTCTGGGACTTTGGGGAACTGTTTTAAGTTTTGAAATATCTTGGTTGTTTTAACAAGAAGAAGAGGAAAAAGAAAAAGAAGAAGAAAAGGTTTATAATGGCTTTACCTCTTGATGAACTAAGAAAGGAATATGGAAAAACAAAGAAAGAAGGCAAGGACGCTGTGGGAGAAGCCTTTCGCTTTTTAGAAATGGCCCTTACTATCTACTAGCCAACTCAACAACAGGAGGAAGAGGAAGAGGAAGAGGAAGAGGAAGCGGAAGAAGAAGAAGAAGAAGAAGAAGAAGAAGAAGAAGAAGAAGAAGA